TTTTTCAGTTTGGCATACTGTTGGAAGTGAATTGGGCACAAATGTTTTTATCAGATTGAGATGCCATTCCTCTCTTCCCATTTTTCAGGGATTTTCTTATGATCAGCTATGGGAATTTATCAGAGTCTTTTTCTGTGTCTATTGAGATGCCTGTGTGATTTTTGTCCTCATTTCTGTTTCTATGATTTGCTACATTTATTGATTTGCAAATGCTGAATTACCCATGAATTATCCCTGAGTGAACTTGCCTACTCAGTCGTGGTGTCTGCCTTTTACATGACTTGCTTTCTGCTTGCAAGTGAGTTGTGGAGGGTCTTTGCATCTGTGTTCATTGATGAGATTGGACTGTAGTTTTTCTTTCTAAATCAGGGCCTTGTCCATTGGTGGAATCAAAGTAATGCTAGCTTTCAAGAATGTGGCAGTATTTACCTCTCTCTTTTTTTTTACAATGTCATTGAAGAGATTGAAGAGTATTTACAGGAGATTTTTCCTAAAGTTCTTGTGTAATCAATAGTAATCCCATCACATCTTGGGCTTTTCTTAACAGGTAGATTTTTATTAGGCATCAGTATCATTGCCTGTTATTGTGTTATTCCAGAATAGTACATCTATTCATTCACTTTTTATTTTAAAGAGAAAAAAATAAAAATAACAGTAAAACAGAGTTTTAAAACAGGCTAGGAGGAGATTAACAATAATTAATACATTGAAAGTCCTTATGTGCATAATAATTATTCAGAGTACAAGTTATAGGCATGAAATATTGTCTAAACAGTATTAGCACAAATTTTTGTAATTTATACATTTCTCAAAATCTGTCCATTTCTTCTGGATTCTCCAATTTGTTGGAGTACAGATATTTTAATTTAAATAATTTATTTGATGTAATTTATATTTTAATTATAAATATTTTACATTAAATAATTCATAATAATCTCAATTTTCATGGTGTTCATCTGGATTTTACCTTTTTCATACTGCACTGATATGGTCTTCTCTTTCATTTTCTTTCTTTTTTTAAAGAGAAAAGAACAAAAACAAAATAACAAAAACAAAGACCACAACAACAACAACAAAAAACCTATAAAAACGATACAGAACTTCAAAACAAGATGAATGGAAATCAACAATTACCCACCATTTTATTCACCTATTCTTTGTTTTGTGTTTTCTGTCTCAGGTTCATTAATTTTTGCTTTGGTACTGATAATTACGTTCTTTGTATTAGGTCTAAGTTTTGATTGTTCTTGTTTTTCATTATTTAGTTATTTATTTGATCTTCCTCTGTTTTTTTTCCGGTGTGGAAATCACATCTATTAAACACTCTTCTTAATATGGTTTTCCTTGTCTACCATAAAACCTAATACTGAAATTATTGTGCTGAAATGATTGTTTGATTCTAGGAATTAATTTATTCCTTGACTTCTTCTGTGACCCATTTTTTCAGAAATATGTTGCTTAATCTCCGTGTGTGTATATATTTTCTTCTTTTGATTTCTACCTTCTCTGAGCTATGATCTAGTAATACATATGTGATTAATTTCAATTATTTGTATTTACTGAAGTAAGCTTTATGAGCTAGTATTATTCTATTTGGAGAACCTCCTTGTGTTGCTGAGAAAAATGTCTATTCTATTATTTTTGAGTTGAACTGCCTAACACGTCCATTTGTCAAAGGTTCAGTTGAATGCTGATAATTTCTTCATTGGTTTTTTTCTAGTTAATCTGTGACAGTGATATATCGAGACTCCCCCACCATAAGCATGCTGATGTTTCTGTGAGTGCTTTTGTCCTGTAGTGTCTGTTTTATGAGCTTCAGTGTTCTGCTGTCTGATGCATATGCACTTATAACTGCTATGGCTTTATGTTCAACTGTTCCCTTAACCAGTAACAGTGACCTTCTTTCTTTCTTTGCTCACTTTTGGTTTGAAATTGCTTTGTCTGAAAATTACTTAGCTACTCCTGCTTGTCTGGGCCTACTTTGGAATGGAATATGGTTTCCTGTTCTTTTAATTTTTAGTCTATGTCTTTCTTTTTGAATTAGATTGTTCTATAATACTACTGTATTAGCACGTATTATGGATAGCATGTATTATGGCAGCATGTATTATGGATACCCAGTAGTATCCATAATACTACTGGGTTTTGTATTTTGCATCCAATCTGTAATCTGTATCTTTAATTGGGAAACTGAGGCCATTTGCATGCAAATAATGTATGAAATGTGTTGATTTGGCCCTGTTATTGTGTTTGAATCCTGTTGCTGATTCTTTGTTTTTCTGTTTGGCTTAACTGGTCAACATTTCCAGTGTTTACATCCCATAAGACCTTTTGGCATTGTTGGCTTCATTGTCTCATTGTAAGAAAGCTTTCAAGAATTTTTGGATTTCTAGTTTATTTCTTATAATTGTAATAACACATTCATTACAATTAACAAACTGCCCATGAATAATACAGGTGTCCTGTCTAAACATTCAGGCAAGAACCTATATATCAATCTTCCTTAGAAGAAAGAAAGTGTTTTGTAGTGGGAAGAGATAAGAATCCTTACTTTATGTGGGAAAAGAGACTTAAAGATTTTCATAGAATAGAAAAGAATATCCATCGTTTTGGTACCGGGAATCACACTTTCACTCATTTTGAGAAAGAATTCTCATTGCATGTCCCACGGATGCAAGATCAGGTGGCAAACACTCATCTTCTGCAGATGTATGAGCCTGTAGCTATAAGTACAGTGCAGTTTAAGGCAGGTTTACTGCTGGGATCCAGGAATTCACGACTTGCCTGGACAGCACACCAATACCTTTTCTCAGAAACACTGTGAGGGGCTGTGAAGTAGTGTGTGAAATATGAAAGCAAAGGAATTTCCACAAATATGACACAGAAGAGCTGGGTTTCTGTGCTTTATAAATGAGCGTATGGGTGCTGATATGATTCACAGAAGAATCAAGAGTTGAGGGAAAATAATTTATTTATTATACATTTTACCCAATTGCATGGAATGCCGTAACACTTCATGCACTATGGTTGAAATTTTGCATGCTAGTAGTACTGTAATTATTATTTGAAAACGCAATGGACTGAAAAAACCAACACATGCTTTGAGGTGGAAACAGTTTAAAAGGAGATCAGATAATCAGTAAATAGCATCTGCTGACATAAACAGAAAATCTGTAATTAATGAGATGCAAAGAAAACGAGTCTATGAGGTGATAATAAAACAGAGACGATTGCAATGCTCTCAGTATCACGTTTTAGCACTCTGAAACCTGGGATGAACATGAGTAGAGAAAATGTTACAGTTCAAGATGTGAGCTCGCAGGTGCACTCTTACAAATATTCCGAAAAATCTTGACAAGGGGGAAACAATTTTTGCAGTTGTAACTTTTGAGTTTCTAGAGTGTCATGTAGTGAAGATGTGAGCGATTCATGCCTGATTCTTTGAGGTGTTGATTCCCGAGGAATCCATCAGGGAACTGCATTCCGTTTAGCAGGAAAGTAACAGAAAGTGTGACGGGGAACACTGCACACAAGAAACTGTCAGTGTCAGGTTGATCAGCTGAGCATTGCATACCACATTAAGGAAAGTGATGGCTGTACCATAATTTTAGTTAGATAACTCCAGATACAATTTCAAGCTAGGTGGGTTTATTTGTTATTTATTTTATATGAAAGATGTGAAATATGTTTAGATATATGCAATAATTGATTGTTATAGTAGCAAAATCTCATGTTCAGCACCTTCCATAGTTGCTGTTTCTTTGGGTGCAATATAAGCACTTGAAATTTTCTTTTTCCAAAATTTAATGTGAAATATATTATTAAGTATAATTTAGACTATGCATTAGATAACTAAACTTAGGTATCCTACTTAGCTGCAAAGTTGTATCATTTGATGTACTTCTGCCCACATCCTCCCAATCAGAAATCCTGGAAACCACATGCTACACATATTTTGAGGTAATTAACTTCATTTTATATCCAAAATATATAAACAATATCATATAGTATTTTTTTTTTCTTTTTACAGTGCATTGAACCCAGAACTTCACATTCATTAGGGGAGTACCCTATAGCTGAGGTACAACTCCAGAACCTTTAAAATTTTATATTGATGCGGTCTCCTTGAAATGCCTAACTGGCCTGGAACTTGTAGAACTCCTGCCTCAGTTTAATCAGGACGTGGGATTAGGGGCATATGCCACCGAGCCTGACTAGCACTTTTAGTTTCCATCTAAAAGTGAATCAGTTAAAAAAAAAATTAGAAAAGGGGAAAGAGACTTGTACCCTTGTACTAATATAATCAATTACCAATTCTATCAGTGGAAGAACAAATGAGAATCAGCTTTGGGATCCTTTCCAGGAAGTCCCCCTGCAAGCACGTCTGGAAGGCGTGGGCCATTGGAGATGACACAGGGAGGAAAAGGCTGCACTCTGCCTGTCCACCTTTCTTTTTTGGTAAGCTGAGACAAATAAAAATAAAATCTGCACAATCAAATACATAGTCATTATTATATCATATCTTAAACATTTTTATTTTAAGGAGAAAAACAAAACCAAAATAATGAACAAAAAACATAAAAAAAACCATGAAAACAAGAAAACAATACAAAATTTTAAACAAGGTGAGAGGAAATTAACAATGGTTGTTGTATTATAAGTTGTTATACTCAAGTTGGTTATTTAGATAAATAAATATAGCATGTAAGCTTGAGTGACCAACTGAACAGTAACTGTTCCTTTCAATAAAGCAATAGAAATTAGTAGTACAATTATCTTACCTATCTTGTGTGTGATTGTGTGTGTGTCTGTATTTGCTTCTTCCTTTGTTTTCTCTTCTCCCTCATCCCAGTATCCCAGTTGTTCTTTCCTCTTGAGCAATTTCTTTCCCGTTCACAATATCTATATTTTAGCTTAAACTTTATTTCTAGTTTCTGAGACCTCAGCATTAAACATTTTTCTAGTGGCTTTTTACTGCTAAACACAGTGAAGAAATTGACCTACATTTTCAGAGAGCAGAACTTCCCAGTCACTCTTCCCAGGGCCCCCAGCACCTCCTTGTTCCTCAGGCTGTAGATCACAGGGTTGAACATGGGGGTGAGGATGGTGTAAATGACAGCCAGGACCTTGTCCTCGGCTGGAGATCGGAGGGACTTTGGGCGGAGATAAGTGTAAGCAAAAGGTGTGTAGTAGAAAGTCACCACCGTGAGGTGGGTGCTGCAGGTGGAATAGGCCTTCTTCCTGCCCTCCCGGGAGCGCATGCGGTAGACAGCAAGAAGGACCCGTCCATAGGAACATAGAATACCCAGGAAAGGAAACACCAGAAAAAGGATGGTACTAATGAACACGGTGTACTCATAGACCCTGGTGTCCATGCAGGCCAGAGTCAGCATGGCTGGGACATGGCAGAAGAAGTGATTGATGGCCCTGGACCTGCAGTAAGGGACATGAAGAGCATACACTGTGTGTGCACAAGAATTGATAGCGCCCATTGCCCAGGATCCCAGGACCATCAACACACACACTCTTTTGTTCATGCGGATGGGATAGTGCAGAGGAGAGCAAATGGCCACGTAACGGTCATAGGCCATGGACATCAGGATCAGTGCTTCTGCACCTGCTAGAGTCAGGAAAAAGAAACTCTGGAACCCACATCCAAGGACAGAGATGGACTTGTCTCCAAATAAAAAACCCGAAACCATCTTGGGGACAGTGGTGGAGATATAATTTAGATCAACAAGTGAGAGCTGACTGAGCAGGATGTACATGGGTGTGTGGAGCTGGGCATCCAGGAGGATGAGCAGGACCATGGACAGGTTGCCGGCCAGGGCCATTAGGAAGATGGGGATGAGGAGAATGAAGAGGAAGAAGCCAACCTTTGATGGGGGGAACAGGCCCAGGAGGATGAAGTCTGTAGAGGTATGGGTGTCATTTTCCATCATGCATTTGTCTATTTTTCCTGAGAGTGTCTGAAAGAATATGGTAAAAATCAAATAAGAAACAATTTTAAGTCATTATTTCATTCAGAGTGATGTATTCAATGATTCCAGCTCTTTAGTAAAGAAGAAACTATTTGGAAAATTATCTTCAATTTCTGCAGCATTCAAATATCAAAAAATGACAAACATGTAGGAACATATAAATCTGTGAATTAATGAAAGTAACATATTTCTGTAATGTCTTTATTCAAGCCCAGATATTTTATTACTTACGTCAGTTGTCATTAATATGAGATGTTACACTCTAACGGTATGTATAAAAAACTATGGACATATCTAAGTGGTGCAGTCAAATTTTAATATAGTTTTATGTATTATATAATATATAATATATAATTTTATATATAATAAATTTTAATAAACCCCATCAATTTTTTTTCCTTTCTGAGGTCTGATTATTTTCATAAGCAACTTGTGTCACACAATGATATTTAAATTTGCTTTGTTACAAATTTTATAAGGAATTAAAAGTTATTATTTTAAGACGTCAATGTCAAAATCAAACAAAGAAACAATAATGTACAAGAAAACCCTCTTCCATGTTCTACACATATTTCAGTCACATTCTTTGGCCTCATGATCTGCAAGGTATCTTGAAGGGATGGACCTTTCCCACAGGACCTTCCGTCATTACCCTCAGATTGAAGTCTTTCAAGGAGGACATGGGACCCCCTGGCTCCTAGTACAGGCATTGTAATTCCTAAAATATTTGATCATTCATATGTCTGCACGTCCACATGTGAGAAGTGCATCCAACTGCCAGAAGATATGTGAATTTACAGCATTATAAAGTCCAATCCAATTGACCCTGGAGCCTGTTCTCAATAGTAGAGACCAGCACTGCTCTGACAGTGTCCTGTCACTAGATCCTTCATGAAACAACTACTTCTTTCAAATGATTCCATAACAGATTCCAGAAAGTAGAAAATTAAATTCTCATACTATCATAACATATCATATATTTTTATAACTTTTCTTCTTTGTAAGTAATTTTTATTTTCAATCATTTAAAAACAAAGAAATATTCATAGGATTTAAAGAGATTTAGAACGCACCTTGCATATTTGTGTGTTCATATTACTGTGTCCTAAATCATACATCTCCATGAATTTCCAGGATGACTAATGAACATCAAAAGGTAGTGGACAATAAGAAGGCAATCAGGTGTTCTGAGATGAGTAGACGCAAATTACAAAGTTTCGTCTTGAATTTTGGTTCTGTCGAGGTGAATTCATTCTGCGTATTTGCTCAAGCCTGATAGACAAAGTTTAGAATAAAAGTTTGGTGCTGTTCTATTTCTCCCACTTAGTAGGAGTGTTAGTTTCTTTTCTCTGGGTGCTGAGACAAAATACTCAGTGCTGAAAATTAAGGAAGGAGAAGTTTTGTTGAGCTCACAGTTTGTGGAGGTTTCAGGCCATGATCAGCTGGCTCCAAGGCAGGGTGGCTGGACACATGAACAACCGTCCATGGCAGCAGAAGACAGCAAAAGTAACAAGAGCAAAAGATGAGAAGAAGCTTCTTTTCCTCATTTATATTGTATGTAGGCGGTAGCTAGGGGTTTAGCTCAGCAGCAGAGTGTCTGCCTGGCAAGCGCCAAGTCCTGAGTTTGATTCCTGGTACCGGAAGAAAAAAACTATATTGTATGTAGGCTACCCTCCCTCGGGTGGGTGTAGGACTCCCACCATCTCTGTGCCCTTCTCTCGCACAGGGTCAGGATGTTTACAAAGTGAGGACCTTGGCCCTTGCTGAGTTGCTTAGTTAAACTTATAAACTTTGAAAACTGACACAATGAACAACATCCTAGAGTAGAAAGGGCATGTCCTCTAGAACCTGGGATACAGAACTGCTGAATTACTTAGTCAAGCTTCTAGACTTCTCAGGTTGGCACAATGTATCAACCATCAGAGTAGGAAACTGCATTTGAGTTAGTGGACACAGCTACTGATCCTCTCTCCTGCAAGAGGGAAGAGGACAAACTCTGAGCTGCTGCCCATCTCTGTGCGGCAGTGTAGGATGAGCGTCAGCATTCAGCACGGACACCCACATGAGTGGCCGCTGCGCCATCTATGTTGTGACCCTCAGGATCACAGCAGGAGCACAGCTCCACTCCTGTTATTTCTGTCACACTCTTATTATTCTGTCACCGCCTGTTTCACTGATGTCTCCCAGTTTGTCTGCTATTTCTAATTAATTGTCAAAAGGCATTAAAGCTTCTAGTACAGCCGTTGCTATTGCTTGACAATTTAGATGACTGTACAGCAAGGAGAAGACACACTGCTAATGTCCAACATATGAAGCATTAAAATTAGTCAGAGATGGCCTTGAAAATGTGGATCACTGGAACAGCTCCAAGATTCCTGTGGATGTCTGAATTATTTATAGTTGATATCCTTTAAGATAAAACATACTGCTTCTCCATAGACAATTTTACTCATTTACACTTAAGTTTAAATGTAGTATATTTAAATGAAAAATGAATAGTACATTTTCCAGAAAATCTTAGTCTAAAAGGTTAGTAACATAGTTTTGTATAGAATTTTTTTTTAAAAGTTTGATAATCAAGAGATTAATATGCCTTAAAATAATGTGTAACTAAAAAGCACATTTACTTTGTAATCCCTTTGTATTGTTGCACTCAATCAAACCATAAATAAATTAATAAATACATATCCTCAAAATACAAATAAAACTGAGAAATAAGAAAATCTATATCCCACAATTTATGAGGATTTGGAGTCAAAAGTGTTGCTTCCTCCATCCAGCTTCAAAGGATCCCAGTCCAAGTCCACTCTCAAATGAATTTACCTGAGCTTTGCAAACACCCTGTTTCCCTCAAGCCCAGGCACATACTTACAGATCAGTATGGGAAGCATTTCCAATTGTGAATTGCAGCCACGGCCCCTGAAACTCTACTTCAAGTTCAGTTTCAAATTCATCATTCTTACACTGATGACAGCACTCATTTGCTAAAATGGATAAACTACAAACAGAGTTATCTCTGCCTAGAAGGTCGTCTGCATGACCAAAAGGATTCATGACAGGAAAGCAACACCTTTTTGAACACATTGTGCACTTGCATGAAAATGATCCTAGTTCTGTAAAATATAATTCTAGTACGCACATCCCTATGAAATAAAATTTAGAAAGGAGTTGTCAAACAGCCTCCAATCTTTTCCTTGCATGTGTCGTTTATCACAGGTCTAGACGTAATAAATTGCCTTAAGTAAAATATTTATTCTTCAAACATGATTTTTTTTTAAGTAAATATCTTGGATAATTTAACAAAAACACCACTTCACATTTTGAAACATTGAGTTTGCATAACTTTTAATGTATATTTTATTATACACTGCCATTATTAACTTTAAACTTACTATAATTTCAAGAATGAAGGATCATTTAAGGTGTACCTCAGTCTTAGTGTACAGAAAGTGAATGTAATTTTAGATAATGTTAACCAAGGTGTGGATTACCAAATTCACTATCAATTCACATTACGTGTGAAGAATCACATTTATCTTCTCCAGACTTGTGTGATACATTAGATGGTAAAGCACCTTCATTATTATAAAAAATGCTTTACAGTTATCTAAAGAGCACCCTCACTTTTATTTTTAAGGTGTAATCTATTATCTACCATTCATCTATCTTTTAAATTCATGTTAGTTAAATAAAAATTCCTTTTGATGTTTTCTTATAGAAAATCCTTCTAAACTCACACATTGCTTATTCCAGTACTTTATTTTTTAAGCACTTTCTGAACTGCTTGCATTTCATATAAAAACTGAACATAAAAATACATCTAGAGTATGTGCCTTATCTCCTTTCATTAGATTGTGGGGCTGACCATTATCCCATGGGTATCACATGGACAGAGCTCTATTTTCTGGAAATCACCTTGAACATTTTCCGAACACCCACACCCTCACCTCTCATCCCTGTACAGCTCAGCAATGACACATGTGTGAACACTCAGAGGCCTCACAAATCCAGGCCATCCTGACATGGAGGCGGTCTGCCATCTGTGTATGTATTCGCTCAGGAAAGGCCAGGGGGACTTGGACCACAGAGGCCAAGTCTGCAGCACACAGGCTGGCCCTGGGCCTAGGCTGGGCAAGGAGCCCTGATAGTTGTTTTGAAATATTCCTAGGTGTGTTAAGGGTCAACTGAATGGAGAATTATTCTATTCAGACTCTCCCAACACCATTACATCTCAAGGCCTATGGGACCGTATATGGTAAGTTTTTACTATGCAGCCAGTGCATTGAGAAAATGTTTCTCTATGTATTTGCCAGTTTGAAATTCTCAGATAGCAAACGTACTCCATTACAATGCAATATGATATATTTAACCTAAGCCTATTGGAAGGAATTCTTAGGGTGTCTGGCACTTGAGGATACAACTTTAATTTGTTTTATGTACTCTTTGTGAACAAAATGGTTTCACATTTGTAATAGTTATATCACAGAGAAATGCACTAAGAATTAAACTGAGTAATAAAGGGTTTCAATTCCCCACCTTCGTGGGATGCTACTTAGGAAATACAGACATTGCATTTCATAGCAGATAAAACATTAACCACTGAGGTGTCTTTTTTGCATTCTCTGCTAACTAAACTAATGGGAGGTTTCCTGGGGAGAAATCCTACTGGCCTAGTATAGGTTTATGTTTTCTAATTTTGTTATTATTATAAAATATATATTTATATTTTTATCATTTTAATTATTTGTGGGAGTCCTACTCATTTCCAACTACTAAATTCACATTTTTGTGCCAGCACCTACACCACAGAACTCTGGAACCTCTCATCAGCCATACTGTGCAAATTCACACTGCAGGTGGCCAACCTATAAGATGTGTACCTGATCAACAGGCGAAGAAGCCGAAACACAGACAGAGCAGGTTAAAATGGGGGGTCAGGGCGCTGTCATCACCCTTCG